CAGAGGATAAAGTAGAACAAATGTATTGTTGCTGAACACCAGGAGTTTGGCCTAGGTGTGGTTGCTCACTACACAGAAAGCTAGTCACTAAGACGAGTATTGCCAGGGAAGAGCTTTATTGTGGATGCTGTCAGTCTAACCGTCAAATCTGTCTCTCCCAACTACACCTAGGAGTTTATATAGACAGGAATTAAAGGGATTAAGGAAGATGATCAACAGGCAGCAGGTGGTTAGATGAGAGGCCTAGCATCTCATTGTAACCACCTGTGGGAAAACAGGAATGAGAGAGAAGGAAGAGGAGTTAGTCAACTGGCAACAGGTCTCATTTTCCAGTTGTGGTTCTCTGTAAAGTTTCAGGTCCGTGAAACTATGTGGGAGTCCTAATGATCAGTTTATTGAGAAAGAAACTCAGATGACAAATGTCAAATTTCTCAATTTAAGACTGGGAGGTCAATCCTATACTTTGGATATTTTTGCCTGCCTAAATCTGATGTTGAATTGTAATTCCCAGTGCTGGAGGTTAAGTTCTGGTGGGAGGTGATCATGGGCATGGAACCCTCATATGGTTTAATGCTGTCTTCCTCATACTGAATTATCCTAAGATCTGGTCATCTAAAAGTATGTGGCACTTCCCCCAGCTCCCTCTCTCTTGCTCCTGTTTTGTCTTCTGCTATGAGTGAAAGCTGAGGCTTCACCAGAAGCCGAGTAGATACCAGCACCACGCTTCCTGTAAAGCCTGCAGAACCTGAGTCAATTAAACCTTTTCCCTTTATAACCTCTTTTCTTTACATTACCCAGTCTCAGGTATTTATAGCAATGCAAGAATGGTCTTAACTGTCAATTTCTATGTTTACTCCCCCAAAAAACCCCCATAAACATCAATTGTATAGAAAAATTGAGCTGGTTTCAAGATAAGAAATTTGGCCAGTATTAAGAATAGTGGAATTATTGTATTGTGCTCCTACTGAGTGGTGTTGTAAATTGATAGCTACACATTTTATTCTGTTCTGTGGAAAATTATGACCCATTGAGATTTTACTTTTACAATTATTACTTCTGTTCATTTTACCATCTTCTCTCCCTCCATGCAGTAGGGGCATGTTGTAAATCACACACTCCAAAAAATTAAACATAGGACATTTTAAAAATTAGCATTGGTATTGAACACACTCCCCCAAATCAGGCTTATTTGCCATTCGTACTTTTTCTGTAGTGAACTTTCCATACCAATCTTTCACCAATTTTCTTATTGGGATTTTTCTTCTATTCTTATCCCAAGCTGTTTTACATGTATTTTTTTTAGTCCATAACTCGCCTTTCCATTTCCTTGTGTGGTTTGAAGAACACAAGCTTTTGAATTTAACAAAATCTAACTTATCAAAGTTTAAAGTGCATAAATCATTTGTATTATTTTAAATTAAGTGCATTAATTTTTGTATGTTCCATATTTTTATTGTCCTATATAGAAATCATCACCTAACTCAAACCTACAAAAATTTTCTCATACTTTCTTCTACAAGTTTTAAGTTTGAGTTCCTATATTTAGATATATGATGAGTTGAGGCTTTATATACGCTTTGGGGAGTCAAAGGTAACACCACTTTTTGAAGATGTGTCTTTCCCCTTGAATTTCATTAGCACATTTTCTGAAAATCTCCCAAGCACCTCATGGTTTATGTCTGTGATTCTGGACTCCTGTATCCACAATTGTTCTGAATGTCCACATAAATTTATAATCCACTTGTCAAATTTTAGTTCAGGTGGTGTTTAATTAATAGAACAATTTGAGGAAAACTGACATCTCAAAAATAGTTTTCTTGACTATTTTGGCCCTATTTCTGCCATACACATTTTGGAAAAAATTTTCCAGTACTAAGGATAAATATTGGGAGCTTTATTGAAATTGTGTTAAATTTATAGAAACATTTAAAGAAAACTGATAATGGTCTTCCTAATCATTGAAATTTTACTTTATTTTTAATTTTTGTGGGTACATACTAGGTATATATATCTATGGGGCATGTGATACATTTTGATATAGGTATGCAATATCTAATAATCACATCAGGGTAAATGGGGTATCCATAACCTCAAGCATTTATCCTTCGTGTTACAAACAATTCAATTATACCTTTAAAATGTACAATTATTATTGACAGTAGTAACCTTGTCCTATCAAATACTAGGTCTTAGTCATTCTACTTTTTGTGCCCATTAACATTCCCCACTTCCCCCTCACCACACCCCCACTACCTTTCCCAGCCTCTGGTAACCATCCTTCTACTCTCTATAAGTTCAGTTGTTTTCATCTTTAGCTCCAACAAGTAAGTCGGAACATGTGATGTCTGTCTTGCTGTGCCTGGCTCATTTCATTTAATGATCTCTAGTTCCATCTATAATGTTGCAAATGACAGGATCTCATTCTTTCTTATGGCTGAATACTACTCCATTGTGTATATGCACCATATTTTATTCATCCATTCATCTGCTGATAGACACTTAGGTTGCTTCCAAATCTTGGCTATTGTGAGTAGTGCTACAGTAAACATGGTGCAGATATATCTTCAATATACTGATTTCCTTTCTTTGGGGTATATAACTACCAGTGGAATTACAGGATTGTATGGCAGCTCTATTTTTAGTTTTTGAGGTACCTCCAAACTGTTCTCCATAGTGGTTGTACTAATATACATTTCCATAGTCCAGTGCACAAGGGTTCCCTTTTCTCCACATCCTCTTCCTCATTTGTTACTACCTGTCTTTTGCACAGAAGACATTTTAACTAGGGTGAGATGATATCTCATTATAGTTTTGATTTGCATTTCTCTAATGGATCAGTGATGTTGAGCACCTTTTCATATGCCTATTTGCCATTTGTATATCTTCTTTTGAGAAATGTCTATTCAGATTTTTGCCCAGTTTTAAATCAGATTTTTTTTTTCTATAGAATTGTTATAGCTCTTTATATATTCTGGTTGTGAACATCTTGTCAGATGTTGATATAGTTTGGATATTAGTCCCTGCCCAAATTTCATTTTGAGAGGTAATGCTCAGCATTAAAGGTGGGTCTTGGAGGAAGCTGTTTTGTTCAAGGGGGAGGATCCCTCATTAATTGATACTGTCCTCACATCAAGGCCCATATTTCTGCCATATACATTTTGGAAAACTTCTTCCAGTGTTAAGAATAAATATTGGGAGATTTATTTAAATATTAAATTTACTGAAACTGCTATTATTTTAATAACAAGTCTTTAAACATTGAAATAAACTTTATTTTTAAATTTTTGTGGGTACAAAGTAGGTGTATGTTTATGGGTTAAATGAGATATTTTAATACAGGTATCAAATGTGTATAAACACATCAGGGTAAATGGGGTATCCATGACCTCAAGCACACCTCACAAAATCTGAGTACTCACAAGATCTGGTTAAGTGTGTGGCACCTCCCTCCCCTTCTCTCTTTGCCCCTGCTCCTGCCATGTGAGATACTTACTCCCCTTTTGCCTTCCATTGTGGTTGGAAACTTCCTGACACCTCCCTACAAGCTGGTAAGATGTTAGCACCATGCTTCCTGTACAGCTTGCAAAACCATGAGCCAACTAAACCTCTTCTTTATAAATTACCCAGTTTCGAGTTTTGTTTTTGTTTTTGTTTTGAGACGGAGTCTCGCTCTGTCCCCAGGCTGGAGTGCAGTGGCACGATCTTGGCTCACTGCAAGCTCTGCCTCCCAGGTTCATGCCATTCTCTTCCCTCAGCCTCCCGAGTAGCTGGGACTACAGGCGCCCACCACCACGCCTGGCTAATTTTTTTGTATTTTTAGTAGAGACAGGGTTTCACAGTGTTAGCCAGGATGGTCTCTATCTCCTGACTTCGTGATCCGCCCGCCATGGCCTCCCAAAGTGCTGGGATTACAGGCATGAGCCACCACACCCGGCCTCGAGTATTTTTTTATAGTATTTCAAGAATGGCCTAATACAGATGGATAGTTTGCAAATATTCTCTCCCATTCTATGGGTTGTCTCTTCACTTTGTTGTTTGCTTTGCAACGCAGAAGCTTTTTAACTTGATGTAATCCCATTTGTCCACTTTTACTTTGGTTGTCAGGTATTACACAAGAAATCTTTGCCCACTCCAATGTCCTGGAGAGATTCCCCAATGTTTTCTTTTAGCTGTTTCATAGTTTGAGGTCTTAGATTTAACTTTTTAATTAATTTTGACTTTTGTATATGGTAAGAGATGGGGGTCTAGTTTCATTCTTCTGCATATGGATACCCAGTTTTCATAGCACCATTTATTAAAGACACTATCTTTTCCCCAATGCATGTGCTTCATACCTTTGTCAAAAGTGAGTCCACCATAGATGTATGAATTTGTTTCTGGGTTGTCTCTTCTGTTCCTATGTGTCTGTTTTTATGCCAGTATCATGCTGTTTTGGTTACTGTAGCTCTGTTGAATAATTTGAAGTCAGGTAATATGATTTATCCAGTTTGATTCCTTTTGTGCAGGATAGCTCTGACTATTCTAGGTCTTTTGTGGTTCCCATATAAATTTTAGGATTGTGTTTTCCATTTCTTTGAAGAATGTTGTTTTCTGGATGTTCCACAGTGTATCCATTAACCTGCTGAATGACATCTTTTTTTTTTTTTTTTTTTCCTTCTTTCCTGAGACAGGGTCTCACTCTGTCTTCAGGCTAGAGTGCAGTGGCACAATCACAGCTAAATGCAGCCTCAGTCTCCCAAGCTCAAGTGATCCTCCCACCTCTCTGTCTCCTGAGTACCTCAGACTACAGGTGCATGCCACCATGCCTGGCTAATTTTTGTATTTTTTGTAGAGACAGTTGTGCCATGTTGCCCAGGCTGGTCTCAAACTCCTGGGTTCAAGCAACCCACCCACCTTGACCTTCTAACATGCTAGAATTACAGGCATGAGACACTGCTACCAGCCAGAGTATTTTCTTACTGTTAGGTACATGAGATGATTCAGGTTCATCTTGTATTTCCCCCAAACTCTGACTAGGAATCATCTCTGGTCCCCTTTTTTTGTGTGGATAGTATTTAGGAACTAGTAACTTGGCAGTTGGTGTGCTTACTATTACTGAGGTGTCATTGCATTTAGGTCCTCTCAGTAGAATGAATCACAAAATATATGCATATGTGCACACACAGCAATTTCTCTATTTGTTCCTATATATTTAAAAGATATGAGTTCTATTCTAATGTCACACTCCAGGTTTTCTAGCTCTCCTCATTCCTAATTTTATAAATACCTTCTCTAATGGAGAAATCTTGCTGTCATCATTCTCAACATATTTGCCCAATGTTACCAATCTCTCAACAATGCTGCCTATCTCCTCCCCCTGTCCCTTCCACACCTCACCAGCAGCCCTCTTGGTGCCAGCAGGAACAAGGCCACAACTGCTCTCATCCCATGAGGCAAGTCTAACTCCTCCACTCTGGGGAAGGAAGTCAGGAGAGACACATGAAAACTCAAAGAGGGGAATCAAAAGAAAGAGGAATGGAAGGCCACATTTTTAAAAAAATAATAAATCATCTTTTCATTGCCCTAATAAACATCTCTTGGTGATGATATAGTTTATGGATATGGCTAGACATTTTTTTCAATTTTAGGATTTTGCATCTAAATCTGTGAGACTTTGGTCTATAGCTTTATGGTTTTTTGTGGTTTTGTTTGTTTGTTTTTGTTTTTTAAGGTTTTGGTATCAAAGTTGTACTGGCCTCAAAAACTGAATGGAAAAGTTCCATCGTTTTTCTTCTAGAAAAGTTTATAAAAGCCTGGTATTATTTTTAAATATTCGGAATAAGTTCAGTGAAGCCATCTGTTCCTAGAGTTTTCTTTCTAAGCAAGTTTTCGAATATTCCACTCAGGTATTGTTTGCAGTTGTGACAAGCACAATCAATCTCTAGTATGACCTTGTTTCCACGGCTTTTACTGATGGCATGTTCAGCAAAGGACCAACCCACTGGCACTTCCTAAGTTTTAATCATTTCTCCTTCATACTGCCAAATACAAAACAAAACAAAAATCCTACTTATTATCTTCTCAAATTAGCTTTTCAGGTTCCTGCCCTATGCAGCATGAGACATCTGGAAATTTCTTGAGAAATTATATGTGTTTGAAGCCCCTAATGTATTCATTCTTTACACTGCACTCTTGATTGTTCTCCCGGTTTCTGGTCCCCCCATGCCTTCCCCTGACCCCCAGGTTATGGCCCTCTGCCTGAACCAAGTTCAATATTCAGGTTCTTCCCTATAGTCAGAAGTGGAAAGGGCCCCCAGAGCTGCATTCTTTTTACCACTCTCTAGAATTTTGCCCCTTTAGTCCTCTTTGCTTCTATAGCAATAATTTGCATTTAAATATTTTCTGTAATTTTATAGTTGTCCTCAATGGGTCCATTCTGCTGCCAACTACTATACCTTACCCAATAGCAAAATCTACTTTTGCTTTTTTTTTTTTTAAACTCTCTGTTGCTCAGGCTGGAGTGCAGTGGCATGATCTCAGCTCACTGAAACCTCCACCTCTCAGGTTCAAGTGATCCTCCCACCTCAGCCTCTTTAGTAGCCAGGATTACAGGTGTGCACCACCATGCCTGGCTAATTTTTGTATTTTTAGTAGAGACAGGGTTTCATGTCGGCCAGGCTGGTCTGGAACTCCTGACCTCAGGTGATTTGCCCACTTCAGCCTCCCAAAGTACTGGGATTACAGGCACGAGCCACTATGCCCAGCCTATTTGTGCTTTTTGAAAGCTCCATATCTAAGTTATATCTATATACACATTTTTAAAAGTTTTATCACCTATGAAAGACATGTTTCAGTATGGAGTGAAATAGAGTTGGGTACAAAAGTCACTCACAGCAGAATGTCCTGGCTTATGTGTTAGACATCTGCTAGGGCAGAAACCACCAGAAATCTGGACCCACTCTCTTCTACTAATCCTCATAAGTTGCATGCAAGGCAAATTGACTTGCCCCTTTGATCCACCATTCTGAGATGGGTCGTCTGAATTTAGTCTGCCCCAGGATTATTCAAAAATCCTGCTGGTGGGCTGCTGTACTATGGCCCCATATTGAGGGTCTTTCTCTTTCTTCCTGGACATACAAGAGCATTCTTGTTTGTGGGTCCCCTTGCTAAAAAATCTTCCCTTATTTTGCACATGGCTAAGCAATAAACCTTTGAACTACTTATAGCCATTGGCTCGAGTGACATATTTTCAAGTCTCTTAGAAAACAGCAGCCTTGACAATGAACTAAACGATATTAACAAAGTAAAATGCTATTTCTCAATACAAATCTTTTTTCCACATTTTCTTAAATTGCTAGATATACTGCAATTCAACACCTGTTCTATATTTAGATTTTAACTTGAAACGTCCACACATTAGATACAGTTAAAAATACTTTCTCTACTATCTGATGTTCACTGAGAAGCTACTTCTTATTACACATACTCCATAAAATATAACCTCATAGTAAATGCTTTCTTATAGTTTCCTATAGTTTGTGCATTTTCTCTGGCCTCTTGACTTCACATAGAATGATTTTCCATATTCATTACATCCATAGGGCTCCTGTCTTATATGAGTTCTGTGGTGAAAAATTAGGGCTGACTTCTGACAAAAGGTTTTTCCACATTCATTACACCCCAATGGTTTCTCCCATGTGTCTTCTCAGATATTCTGTGAAACTGAAGTAGTAGCAGAAAAATGCATCCCTTCTCAACCTAGGGATGCTGACACAGGTTTCACCCCATGTGAATTCTCTGATGTTTAATGAGGAGTGGCACTGGGCAAAATGTTTCCTACATTCATTCACCAGTAAGTTTTTTCCACTTTTAGTTTTGTAACATAATGTATGGTCCAAAGTCCAGAATAATGTTTTCCTGCATTCCATATCTTCATATTGTTTTTTTTCTCTAAGTTCTCTTCAATACTGTGAGAACTGACTTTAGGCCAAAGGTATTCTCATTATCATTATATTAACAGATTTCTCTCACCCTTTATGTTCTGTGTTCTACAAAGTTCTGACTTCACCCAGAGTAATTTCCCTCACTTACTACATTTATAGGGTTTCTCCCCAAGTGTGTTCTCTGATGTACAGTTAGTTTTGACTTAACATAGAATGATTTTCCACAAACATTACATTCATAGGGTTTCTCCCCTGTGTGTGTTCTATGATGTGCAATGAGTTTTGACTTCACACAGAATGATTTTCCACATTCATTACATCCATAGGGTTTCTGTCTTATATGAGTTCTCTGGTGAACAATTAGGGCTGACTTCTGACGGAAGGTTTTCCCACATTCATTACATCCAAAAGGTTTCTCCCCTGTGTGTCTTCTCAGATGTTCTGTGAAACCGGAGTAGTAGCAGAAAAATTTTCCACACTGAATACATTCATAAGGTTTCTCACCTGTGTGAGTTCTTAGATGTTTAGTAAGGGTTGACTTCTCAGAGAATGATTTCCCACATTTATTACATTCATAAGGTTTTTCGCCTGTGTGAATTCTTTGATGTTTAATGAGGTCTGATTTTCTGAGAAAGGCTTTCCCACATGCACAGCATTCATAGGGCTTCTCCCCTGTGTGTGTTTTCTGATGCACAGTAAGGACTGACTTAAAGGAAAAGGTTTTCCCACATTCATGACATTCATATGGTTTCTCCCCTGTGTGTGTTCTCTGATGTTGAGTAAGGGTTGACTTTTCACTGAAGGATTTCCCACATTCATGACATCTATAAGGTCTCTCCCCTGTATGAATTCTTTGATGTTTAATGAGGTCTGAATTCTTATAAAAGGTCTTCCCACATTCGTGACATTCATAGTGTTTTCCCCCTGTGTGTGTTCTCTGATGTCTTGTATGGGCTGACTTCTGGGTGAAGGTTTTTCCACATTCATGACATTCATAAGGTTTTTCTCCTGTATGTGTTCTCTGTTGTAAATGAAGGACTAATTTTTCACTGAAAAAGGTTCCACACTCATTATATTCAATAATATTGTTAATTGAGTGGGTTCTCTGAATTGGAGTGAGATTTAACTTCTGGCTGAATGGGTAAACACTCTGATGTTCAAGGAGAATGGATTTCTCAAAGATGTTTTCTCCACATTGATTACATTCATAGTGGTTTTCTCTTGGATGTGTTTGCTGATGGGTAATGAAAAATGACATATCAGAGGTTTTCCCATGTTCAGTATATTTGCAGGTTTTCTGTCCTGTGTAACCTCTCTTATGTACAAGGAAGAATGAATTCTCAGGGAAAGCTTTCCCACATTCATTGTATTCAAAAGGTTGCTCCCAATTTTTAATTTTCTGATGCCAAATGAGGTCTTCATTCAGCCAGAAGCTGTTCCCATTTTTATTATATTCATAAGGTTCCTCTTCAGAATGAATTATTTCATGCTTTTCATCACACAAACATTTTCCACCTTTGTTAAACTCATTGAACTTCATTCTTGAATAGTTTCTACTGGTATTAATTAATTCTGAAATATAGAGTGACAAGAAAGATTAGTTGACAAGGATATGTAAGAGAAATAAAGTTAGCATTATATTTGAAGGCATGACTCAGTTTAGGCCATTATCTCCTCATACCTACATTATGACAACAATGTGCACACTTCCAGTCTTATACCTCTTTTTAATTCAACACAGCAGCAACAAACTGAATTTCTAAAAGTTCTAATTCATAGATAGTCCTGTAATCCAAGCTCCAATTCTGTGTGGTTTTGTTGTTGGTTGGTGGTGGTGGTGGTGTTTTTGAGACAGAGTCTTGCTCTATCACCCAGGCTGGAGAGTAGTGACATGATCTCAGCTCACTACAACCTCTGCTTCCTGTGTTCAAGCGATTCTCATGCCTCAACCTCCCAAGTAGCTGGGACTACAGGTGTACACAACCATGCTCAGCTAGTTTTTATGTTTTCAGTAGACACAGGATTTTGCCATGTTAGCCAGGCTGGTCTCGAACTACTGGCCTCAAGTAATTCATCCACATTGGCCTTCCAAAGTGCTGGGATTACAGGCATGAGGCACTGCACCTGGCTCAATTGTTGTTCTAGCTCTGATTCACTAGGAATAAAAGTATGCAACAATAAGAGTGAAATCAACGAGTGAACAAGCCATCCTTGTCACAGGATAGGTTTATGGTTCTATTCTAGCTATGGGATTTGCCCTTTATTCCATCAACTATCCTATACTATACTGAGTCCAATGTCCCAAGAACAAACACTTTTTTTTTTAACAAGGTATCACTGAAGTAAACATATCTTTACATTTAGATTCAGATTAGAACCAAGCCATTCTTTTACGAGTCTAGAATGAATATATTTCACTCTAGGTAGGTTCAGCTGTTTGTCCCTCATAAATTGCTCATTCCCATCATAATCTCATACTGATTGTTTTTTCATTGTCAGATTGTAGTCTAACAGTGTTTTTAAAAGTTTGCCTTCCCAAATTTTCCAGGTTCATTCACTAAAAAACATGAAAGGACTGTTTGTATAATTCATTTAAGCACAAACATCAGCTGGATTGCTATAACAATATTTTTTGTTAAACACTGATTTTTAAAATATTTCATGCGGTTCTGTTTTTGTTCACCAACTATGTTCCTGGCAGCCATTACTTTGCTTATGATTTTTTTCTTAGTGCCCTACATAGATATTTAAATCAGTGGTATTTAACAAATAATGTTTATCAATATTACCTGGAGAGCTTTTCCAAACACAAATATTTTCAGGCTTCACGCTGAAATCCTTACTGGTTGAATGTTTAATTTTAATTTTAACTGCTTTTTATTTTTTAGAGACAGAATCTTGCCCTGTCACCCAGGCTGCATTGCAATGGCACAAACACAGCTAACTGCAGCCTCTTCCCAGGCTAAAACAAGACTCTCACCTCAGCTCTCCAGTAGCTGAGATCACAAAAATTAGCCAGGCATGAGACCACAGGTGTGTGCCACCATGCCTGGCTGATTTTTTAAGTTTTCATGGAGATGGGGTCTTCCTATTTTGCCCAAGCTGGTCTCAAATTCCTGGGCTCAAGTGTTCCTCCCACCTCAGCCTCCCAAAGTCCTGGAATTATAGGCATGAACCACTGGGCCCAGGCTATTTTAAAATAATTCTGTAAAAAAATGATAAATATGGTAAAAAGCTAAAGAATGAGCAACTCAAAAAAGCATGTATAGAAAAATATGTTTAATATTTTAAAGAAGGAGGGATGCTCTTTACTGGGAAGAGTACACCAGAGAGCTTTCTGGGGGTGTTGAAAAATCACTCTATATATTCATCTCAGTGATGGATATGTGAGTGTTTATACACACACACACACACACACACACACACACACATATATATTTTATTAATCTTTGGCTTAACCATATAATTTATACCACAATTAAAAAAAAAACCCAAGATGTGTGTATGGAAGTGATATTGGGAGATCCTGGGTGATTCAGAGTCACTGGATATTTGGGTCATATCAACATGTTAGTTCCAAAGTTCTAGAGCCTCTAAAACATGATTCCTGAAGAACATTTCAATGGTCTTATTATCTGAACCTACACTTTGTGATCTACCTTCCTTTAAATTCCATCTGGCACATACTAACTCACCCAGATGACGCTGGCTTGGAAATTTTTCCTCTAATATCCATGGCTCCTCGCCTTTCTCCAACTTGAGAATCACTTCTGGTTTAGGAATGCAATATCCTGTGAATGAGAACTGTATTACTTGGGACAAACTGGGTGGGTTTTCCTGAAGGAGGAAGACAGTGTACCCCAAACAGTACACACACACACACACACACACACACACACACACACACACACACTTCATTTAATCCTGTCATTCTCTCTAGTATCCAAAAGGGATAAATTGTCCTTGATCTCTGAATCTCAAACCTAAATATTATATTTTACAAAAGTTCCACAAGTTTCTATTGATAAGAAAGGACATGCACTCTGGTCTTCTACATGGGAAACAATTCCTACCTACCTACTGAGACAAGGTGGCTGTAGTTCTCCAGCATCACATCCCTGTACAGGGTCCTCTGAGCAGGGTCCAGATGCTGCCACTCCTCTTGAGTGAAGCCCACAGTCACATCCCTAAATGACACTGATCCCTGGAAAATCACAGTTCTGCTCAGTCTGAAGTGATAAGAATCAGTTGACGTGAAAAAGGATGTTTAGGGACTAATCCTTACCATTTTTATTGTTGAAAATTAAATAGAAAATGTTATAAAGGGCCTCTATGATATATGTTGTTTTATGTTACACATTGTGGATAAAAAATCATAGTAGAAATATCCTGTTGGTGCATTCATTTATTACTTAATGCAAAAATATTTAGTGCCTACATATGCCTAGAGCTTTCTTAGTTTCTGAGTATTCCAATTTGAATACAAGAGTCTTCCTGTAATTACAGGAGAGGAACATATCTTCTCACAAGGAAACATACATACAGAGACATACCTACCACAGGACTTAACGGACTCACACCACAGATATGTGCAACACAGATGGATCATAAAAGTGTTCTGTGCAAATTCGTGTGAAAGTATGTCAACATATTAGATTTCACTAAAGTGATAAAACTTTAGTTCCTTTGCAAACATATAACAAAAACTTAAGAAAAGGTTAAAATCCTGAAAAAATATGAGGCAAGTCAATGGAACTGCTTAACAGGATAAGAGCATGCCTTACCTGTGATGAGATAAAGGTTGCAGAGGCATGGGAGATGAGGGAGAATAGGAAATACTTTTGGCTTTAATCCTGTTAGTGTTCTCCAAATATTTATCACTCAACTAATCTGTAAAAATTTTTAGCAACTACTAGTTTTACTTATATTTATTTATAAAGTAAATAAAATACAATCAATCTACATATAAGGAAAGCTTAATTTTGTTCTTATTTTATAGATAAAAACATAAATAGGCATGCTGATATTTTCCTCCCAAGCCCTAAAGGACTGGCAGTATATGACATAAACACAATTATCTTGCACACTTCCTTTAGGCCATAGGCTCCCTGCGCCCCCAACTCCAGGTCATTGACGCGAATAGCAGAAGTTGATGGTGAACTGGAAATACACAACTGAATCTCTGTAACATAATTCAGTTTTCACTGAGGAAGCAATGCCACCAAAGTAGATTGGAGACTGCTGGAGAGCAGCGTTAGAGGTAGATTGTCTATATTAAGAGGCAGTAGTGGAGATGTGGAAGAGGGAATTCACTAAACAAGAGAGGAAGGGCTACTTCCAGAGGGCCTGCATAGAGGCATTAGAAGGTCTGGAAATTAGAACCAGGAGGTTGGGTGTTGAGGAAGGGGAGAGTGCAGATTGACAATAAGACACATGCAGGCCATGCAGCTCTTGGAATGTCTTCATGTCATGGAAGTGAGCATGTCCAGTGGAAGGCTACAGAGATGATTCTGAAGCTTGGGAGAGACCTAAGGTCTGGAGTTCAAGACCTGCCTGGCCAACATGGTGAAACCCCATCCCTACTAAAAAGACAAAAAATAGCCATGCGTGGTTGTGGACGCCTGTAATCCCTGCTACTTGGGAGGCCGAGGGAGGAGAATCGCTTGAACCCGGGAAGTGGAGATTGTAGTGAGCCAAGATTGTGCCACTGCACTCCAGCCTGGGTGACAGAATGAGACTCCGTCTCAAAACAAACAAAAAAAAACCACAGACTAAAAAAAGAGCATTCCAAAATTAAATGTTAATATTTGCCTAACTGAAAACAAAGCAAATACTCTGAACACTACTAGAAAACAAAATGGGCCAGGTGCGGTGGCTTACGCCTGTAATCCCAGCACTTTGGTAGGCCAAGGCGGGAGGATCACGAGGTCAGGAGTTCAAGACCAGCATGGCCAACATGGTGAAACCCCATCTCTACTAAAAATACGAAAATTAGCCAGGCATGGAGGCAGGCACCTGTATTCCCAGCTACTCGGGAGGCTGAGACAGGAGAATCACCTGAACCTGGGAGGCAGAGGTTGCAGTGAGCCAAGATCACACCACTGTACTCCAGCCTGGGCAAAAAGAGTAAAACTGTGTCTCAAAAAAAGGAAAGAAATAAAGAAAGAAAGAAAACAAAATGGATGTAAAATACAGAATCGTACAAATCTAAATGTATAAAATTGCATAAATTATAACAAAATAAAAACTGGAAAAAGAGTTAATAAAAGAATAGTTTGTAAAATATAGATAAATCCAGGAGATAAATACCATTCTCAAATGAATTCCAAAAGAAAAAAAAAAGCTAAAGAGAGACTTTTTTGGGGGGAAATGAGGGCAATCAAGAGCACTGTGTACATTATAGCCCATTTATGCCTGAGGTTGCAATTTTTTAAATTTTTGCAATCAGACCTTTAAATGACCTTGAGCAGTAGCATATAACTCCCACATGCTTAGCGTTCCAATAATGGAACACTAGGCATAAATAGGTTAGGGAATTCAGAACACCAAGCACATACCCAGGACAGGAGAAGCTTGGCAAAGACCTCAAAAGACCCTAAGGTTTTACTTCTGGCTAATCTCTATGCTCAGTGCAAGCAAGCAGTGAAGACTAAGATGAAGTTCTAAACGGACCAGGCTAAGTGCTCAAAAAGGGCTAAGGACAGTCAATTTGCAAATAATAGGAAAGGGGTTTTGTTGTTGTTTTTTTTAGTTTTTTTACTTTTTGGTTGTTGCTGTTTGAATCCTGGCCCTCCAGGAAAAATGCCGGTTAAAACACTATCTGAACACAAGCTAAAGAGAGAGAATTCAGTGACCACACATGACTAGAAATAAATATACTGCAAAAAACAGTCTGAAAAATTCATAAAAACAAATGGATGATTGAAGACTTCAATAATTAAGAACAGCAAAGTCTAGAGAAGAATAAGAAAGTGATTTCTAAAGTTACCAAATTATAATATTAAAATGCCCAGTTTCAGCAGGAACAAGAAAATCACAAAGCATACAAAGAAACTGGAAGTGTGGTCCAATCACAGGAAAAATATAAATTGACATTTATCCCTGAGGCAAACCAAACATAACAATTCTTAAACAAACACTTTAAATCAACTGTCTTTAATATACTCAAAAGCTAAAACATACAAGAACTAGAGAGAACCAAGAGAACAACTTACAAATATCAAAAAAGAGACTGAAATTATAATAACCACATAGACATTCTAAAACTAAAGAGTACCATAATTGAAATAATGAATTCACCAGAGGAGTTCAACAGCAAACCTGGGAATGCCAAAAAGAATCTGTGAATTTAAGTATAAGACTATTGAAATTATCAAGTTTGAGAATCAGAGCAAAAAAGAATTAAGAAAAATAAACGGAACCCAAAGGACCTATGGGACACCATCAACCTGACCAACACAAACATGGGAAACGTAGAGAAATACAAGAGAGGCAAGGAAATAAGAGTATTTGCAGAAAAGCCAAAACTTCCTAAATTTGGTGAAAGACACAAATCCAGGAAGTACAATAAACTCAAAATAAACTCAAATACATCCACCAAGACAAGACATGTTATAATCAGTCAGGGGAAAAAAAAAAAAAATGACGGAGAATCTTGAAGCAGAAAAGGAGAAGCAATTTGTCACATACAAAAGAACCTCAAAAAGATCATCAGCAGAAACCTTGGAGGTTAGAAGGCACTGGATTGATATATTCAAAGTGCTGAAAGAAAAAAGCTGTCAGCTGAGAATTCTATGCCGGGCAAACATGCCTGTCAATAATGAGGACCTTCCCAGATGAACACAAGCTAAGAGAATATGTTTTTACTAGATCTACTCTGCAAGGAATGCTAAAGGGAATCCTTTGGGTTGAAATGTGATTCACGACAAACAAGGGAATAAGATTATAATAAGATTATAAGCCAACTTTTCATCTGGATTTGGTCTTAAAAGAGAAATTAGGATTAAATAAATAAGAAAAATGGAAGATTGGCAGAGTGGATAAATTTCTTCAAATAATGCATACAAAAATGTAATTAGAATGAATAAGATTGAGCATCTGATAGTAAAACAGGGTGAGTACAGTCAACTGGTGTTTTTTTAAATTATACTTTAAGTTCTGGGGTACATGTGCAGAACATGCAGGTTTATTACATAGGTATACATGTGCCATGGTGGTTTGCTGCACCCATCAAACAATCATCTTCATAAGGCACTTCTCCTAATGCTATCTCTCCCCTAGCCCCCCACCCCCTGACAGGCCCCAGTATGAGATGTTCCCCTCCCTGTGTCTACGTGTTCTCATTGTCCAACTCCCACTTATGAGAACAGTGGTGTTTGGTTTTCTGTTCTTGTGTTAGTTTGCTGAGAATGATGGTTTCCAGCTTCATCCATGTCCCTGCAAAGGACATGAACTCATCCTTTTTTATAGCTGCATAGTATTTCATGGTATATATGTGCCACATTTTCTTTATCCAGTCTATCATTGATGGGCATTTACGTTGGTTCCAAGTCTTTGCTATTGTGAATAGTGCTGCAAAAAAACATACATATGCATGTGTCCTTATAGTAGAATGATTTATAATCCTTTGGGTATATACCCAGTAATGGGATTCCTGGGTCAAATGGTATTTCTGGTTCTAGATCCTTCAGGAATCGCCATGACTTCTACAATGGTTGAACTAATTTGCACTCCCACCAACAGTATAAAATCGTTCCTGTTTCTCCATATCCTCCCCAGCATCTGTTGTTTCCTGACTTTTAATGATTGCCATTCTAACTGGCATGAGATGGTATCTCTTTGTGGTTTTAATTTGTATTTCTCTAATGACCAGTGATGATGAGCTTTTTTTCATATGTTTGCTGGCCACATAAATGTCTTCTTTTGAGAAGTGTCTGTTCATATCCCTCACCCACTTTTGGATGGCGTTTTTTAATTGTAAATTTGTTTAAGTTCTTTGTAGATTCTGGATATTAGCCCTATGTCAGATGGATAAATTGCAAAAATTTTCTCCCATTCTGGAGGTTGCCTGTTCATTCTGATGATAGTTTCTTTTGCTGTGCAGAAGCTCTTTAGTTTAATTAGATCCCATTTGTCAATTTTGGCATTTGTTGCCTTTGCTTTTGGTGTTTTAGTCATGAAGTCATTGCCCACACCTATGTACTG